GGTTTTTTGGAGTTCTCGATGTTACACAGTTCGCAAGAGCTGGAGCATAAACACCGGGGCTTCATGGGAGGGAACTCGGCAGAGTAAATTAAGTACGAACAGTGCAGTCGGAGTACCAGCATCTCAGACATACCAAAAGTAGTCTAGGATGGGTATTATCTTGTAAACAATGGTATCTCGCAAATTCGATGATCAAACGTGATGTTCCAATCAGAATTATTCTTCAACAAATGATTTTGTTGATTCAGAGAATTCCATGATTTTTTTTGTCTCCTTATCAGGTGAGTATTATTCTTCAACCCAATTACCAACATAGGAGAAACCCCAGCAAAGCAAACACCCCGGGCTTTCCCGTTTTACATCCAAACCATAAATCGACCATTACGAAAAAGTAAATAGTCATATATATTTAACCATCTTTAACAATTAGCAATCAGTTGTAGAATTATCGTGCTTATGTCGCTACTAGAAAACAAAAATATCGATTAAGTCTTGTCTTAGGTTTATTTTTTCGAAAAAAAAGAACCTACTTGTTATAAAATACCTGTAACAGGATGGCTAAATATGTAGGCCAGGACAAATCTGTACTCTGCATAATGTTCCATAAAATTATTCTATATAAAACTCTGTCTTATTTATATATACTCGTAATAAGATTACATGTCGAAGTGATGTTCACAATATGAATGTTCGGTCCCGGAAGCTGATTTCCCAACCACGTCATCGTACATCTATGTTTAATCGATTTTTTTCTCACTTTATCTGTCACCTGTGCAATCATGTCTCCACAAACCTTAAGTCTATACTAAGTGACATATAAATCCGAACACCCAGTTTAAATGGTTTTATTTTAATAAAATTTTGTATAAGTACTTAATGAAGCATAATAAGTAAATGATAAAAATTTCAAAATGATTGCACTGCTTTAAAGCCCTTTGACCTTTAATAATGTGTGGATGCACCCTGATGTGCTACGCATTCTCCAACGCGCCTAGGCATGCTTCTGATCAGGTGGTCAATGTCCTCCTGTGGTATCTCATTCCAGGCAACCACCAATTCCTCTCGAAGTGCTTCTAGAGTCTGGGGAGGACGTTGCAAATTGAGCAATCTCCTACCCATCATATCCCACACGTGCTCAATTGGGGATAAGTCGGGAGATCTTGGTGGCCATGGTAACACTGTGACATCATTATGTTGAAAGAAGTCTATTGTGACTCTTGCAACATGTGGTCGGGCATTATCTTGTTGGAAAGTTGGATCTGCCAGGGTGTCAAGATAGGGTAAAAGATGGGGTTCTAGAACTTCGTGGATATAACGCTGCGCGTTCATGTTACCTCTGATGAAGATTAAACGTGACCTGGAACCATAAGCTATAGCACCCCAAACCATAACTCCAACAGTGTGATGAACATGTCTTTCAACAAAAAACTGTGGATTCCTCCTTTCACCACGTCGCCTTCTAACCCTGGCACGACCATCGTGCATGCCTAAACAAAATCGAGACTCGTCACTAAAGACAATACTGTTCCATTCCTGATCCCAGAATGACCGTTGTCTGCACCACTCAAGGCGATTACGTCGGTGTTCTTGAGTTAAAGGGAGGACCCAGTGTGGCCGGTATGAAAACAAGCCAAAACTTCTCATTCGTCGGTAAACACTTCGCATGCCAATAGGTCTTCCGTGTTCTGCAAACCATTCATTTGCAACGGACCTGGTAGTGGAGAAACGGTCCCTTAAGGCCAATAATCTTAGGCGGCGATCTTCACGGTCTGTTATTCTACGGCGGCGTCCAGTGCCCCTTGCTCTTTACGTACGGCCTTCTCGAAGCCATGCCTGACAACACCTAACCACAGTGTCTACACTTCTTTGCACTCTAACTGCAATTGCCCGAAAAGAAAGTCCAGCTTCCCGAAGTCCCACTATACGGCCCCTATCAAACTCACTAAGTTGACGAAATCGTACAGGTGTTCGTACTCTAGGCATCGTAACCGATCGTAAAGGATGTCAAGAACCAAAATCCGCCAACGTTGATTCTTCACTGCGGCTGAAAATTTTTTCACGTGTTATTTACAGTAAGATAAATACATTCACCAACTTTTATTAAAATAAAGCCATTTAAACTGGGTGTTCGGATTTATATGTCACTTAGTATATGTCTGTGTCAGCTTTCAAAAGAAGTAACAGAAAATTTCTATTAGATGAACTGTGGTGTTTACTTCATATTGTTCTCTTCCTTTTTATATGATTTATATGTATTTATGAGCATGTAAATGTATGAGTATGTTTTTCTGTTAAATCTGCTAAAATGATTTGACCCTTTTCGTTAGCTTACATTTTTAACATTATTTTTTTAGGGTGACTTTGAAGTTGAGTCATTAATTTTCAGATAATGATTGTAGAAGGAAGATAAACCAAAATACATATGTGTGTAAAAATAAAAAAAATAAAGAAAAAAATTTACCTTGTTTTATAAAGTATCCTCGCGACAAGTATTTCAGTGCGGACCTGTATTTGATCGTGAGGTCTTGGAGCACCGGCATGCCCTCCCCTGTGAGGTCTTAAGTCACCTGATTCACGAGCCCGTTGTACTACATTAACAAAGGCACGAGGGGTTGGTTGCACTCGATTGGGAAACCGATCCGCATAAACATGTGCCATTGTTTATTTCGTTTGAGCCACGCAGCAAACACCACTATTCACTCACGCGTTACCGACTGACACATCGACTGAATAAAAACATCGTGATCAGCGTTTCAAATTCTTTCGCTTTTTTGTTTCCGATGCGATGAACCGATAAGGCGGATTATATCCGTTGTTGCCAAACGCGAGCACATAATATTATTATTGAGACAGGGCGGTACTCAAACTTCTAAAGGGCTATAACTTTGTTACTTTAATTTTACTACAAAAATGTTAAAGGAAAAAAACGTTTCTTTTGATCAGATCTACTCACTGTTAAAATAAATGACTCAACTTCGAAGAACTTCGAAGCATGTTGGAATTTTTGCCAAAAACGAAGAGTGGTTATAAGTTCAACATATGTAACTGTGTATTGGACGTGTCTGTCGAGATGCTTCTTAGCAGTGTTTGAGGAAAATTAGTTTTAAGACTAATTTCCCTGTGCCTGTATCGGTTATCACATGGAAGGGTTCGATTTGTAAAGTAAGAAATCGGTCTTTCGAAGTATATATATTTATAAAGAGAAAATGATGATGCGGAGAAAGGTATATAAAACAAAAAATAGGAAAATAGTGGGCAAAATCTTCAATAAGAAGGAAAGTGGATTCGAGCAGAAAACAGGATAGGTAACCCGAGCAATACGTATTTCTGCTTGTTGGCTTCATCAGGTTCGAAATGAATGCACATATGCAACCACAAAAATACATTTCTGCTCGAATCCGCTTTCCTTCTTTTTTCGGATTTTGCCCACTATTTTCCTATTTTTTGTTAGGGGAGACACGGGCAGCCGGAATCACTTTCGGAGAGTGCCAATTCATAGCACGAAATTATTAAAAAATGATCTATCTGAATACTTTTATGTGGATTTTAATTATTTCAGAAACATTAAACACTACTATTTTAACTTTACAATATAGTTTGAGCAAGTTACGGCCTAAATTATTAAAGACTGTATTTGATTCTATTTGCCCGACCCTCTAGGGTAAAAGGAATCACAGGTGAGGGCAAAATGATTCAAAAGAAAAAATATAATATGGAAAATAGAAAAATATATATTATCATTAAGGAAAACTGAAAATGGTAACTCTTACAATAATTATTCTCTTAACCTAATTATTTTCTCTAATATTTAACCTGATTTTATTAATCTTGATATATATAAAATAAAAAAACTATTATTAGTAGAAACTGAAAAAGGTATTCTATAATTATTCTTAACTCAATTATGTTCTCTGATCTTTGACCTGATTTTGACAATCTTGACAAATATAAATTCCAGTCTTGTAGCTTGTGCATTTCTGATGTGCCCACTTCTCACAGAAATTGCAGTTTCCAGTGTTCGCCTGGAATGGAGTTTTCAAAGGAATCGTCACATATCAAACATGGAGTTTCTTCTTCATCTGGAGCGGTTTTCGGTGGTGAAGGTGGACGAGGTATTTTCAGTTTGCTGGAATCTGTCTCTTGTTGGATCTTCCTTCTAACGCTTTTGACACATTCTTTGCTCTTACTTTTTTTTCTAATTTCTTCTTTAATTGGCGTAGAAGTCAAAATCTCTGATTTCTGTTGATTCCTTTTTGTTTTGGGTTCTTTTCGTTTATCACATTTAGGTATAATATGAATATCAATAATTTTAATGCGATTATTTCCTTTTGGAGCGTCACTAGCTTGTTTTAAGGTCGTACTATTATTGAGACCAGAAGGTTCAGGTTTTGCGATATCATTATGAGCAGATGTATTGGGCGGTCCAATTTCAATAACATCCATATCTTGAGGATTATGGTTAATACGGACCTCTGGTTCTTCAATGTTAGTTACATCTGCTGGAAGGAAGTCCACTTCAGAAAAAACATCTAAATCACATCTTGCAATGCCAGTTTTTTCGAAACCTTTTATAGCGTTTGTTGGTGTTGCAGCTTTAAGGTAGGCATTATTAAAAATTTTGCCTACATCAAACAACGTAACGCGTTGTGCAGGATGCGCTTTTTGCCACTTGTCAATTTCATTTTGGAAATAAGTTCCGAAAGGGCCATAAACGGACACATCTAGCGGCTGGAGCTTGTGTGTCGTGTGGGGTGGAACCGAAAAAATGATGACATTATTCTGAGAGGCATAATCAAGGACATCAATAGACCTATGAGAAGCATGATTGTCTAAGATTAATAGACATTTATGGTCTTCATTTGGTCTAACGTTGCTTACAAAAAACTTCATCCACTCTAGGAAAGCTTCGGAACTTATCCATCCAGAATCAGTTACTAACTGAGAAGAGCCTGGTGGAGTTCCTTCCATGTACCTTGGATTTTTCTTTTTCCTTGGGAAAACTAGTGAGGAGGAATATATGCCCCAGCAGCGGAACAACAAAACAGTGCCGTTACTAGTGTGCCTCGCTCGGAGGAAGATATAGCTCCAACTCCCTTTTTGCCTTTCAGGGAAATAACCTTAGGAGGCCTATTTGTAGAGGTTTGGATCCCTGTCTCATCTACATTGTACATATTTGCAGGCAAAATATTGTTTTTCTCGATGACGTCCCTCAAATTTTCGAAAAACCTCTCCACTTGTGGGCGATTAAAGCCACTGGCTCGTGCAACACTGGTCGGCTCAGGTGTCCGTGAGCTTAACTCAGGATGTCTCTTCATAAAATTTTGATACCATTGCTGACCCGCTGCATTATTTTTAAAACAATGAATAATGTGGTTCGCTTCGGCGTATTGATATGCTAACACACAAAGATCTCGTCGCGTAAGCCCATAAAAACGGCTATCAAGCTCTTTGATATGGGTAACAAATTCTTGTTCTTCTTCTGGAGTGAAAACCGTCTTAAATCTGCCCAGAGATTTAGTAGTTTTATTAGACTTCACATGCTTAAGGAGCGTTGAGAATGGAATGTTATATATTAAAGACGCTTTTCTTATCGACTCCCCGTTACGCACTGCTTGCAATGCATGTTCCATGGATGTTTCTGTCCAGGTGCTTCCTCGTTCCGACTTTCTTTTATAGTTGAAAACCATCTAGAAAAGAAGCGAAAATTACATACCTACATGAAAATCGAAAATTGATATACGGGCAAAAGGAATCATGATCCCTTTTGCCTGATTCCTCTTGCCCGAAATGCACTGTCACAAAGGAATAAAAATTTACGAGACGCTGGCAACAATGGACATATTTTCAAGGTTAGGTAGAAAAGTAGAAGTGCCAATCTTTCGATTATTAACTAAATCGTTTTGAATAAATGGCTGAGTCACTACTTACCCTTCTTCAACAATCCTTTGAACAACTATTCAAGACGTAATTAATTAGAACACCTTAAAAAATATGAGGTAAAAACTTTAGCACGAGGGAACGCGTTGCGCATGAACTTGTGCCATACTCAGCGAATTGTTAAACAGCGTTGTCAGATTTCTGTGATGAAGCTGTTTTCATTTATTCAGCTGATTCCTTTTGCCCACTATATCCCTTTTGCCCGATTTTACCCTATATGTATATATATATATATATATATATATTTATTTTTCTTGACGCTTGTAATTATTATTTTTAATATCAACTTATATAATTTGGTTAAAAACTACTCTTCTGTTGTTATTTTGTTTGTTGAGCTAGTATTCTCATCAGCTTGCCTGTTTTCTAGTCCCTTTTGCAGGGAATTGATGTTGTTTTTTTATTTTTTCCTCTTTGTATATTTATTTGCTTTGCAAATAAACGCTATTATTATTATTATTTTACAATTTTATAAGTTTTTTAATGTATCTAAAGTATATTTAAAGAACTTTCTCAATCTTATAAATTAGGGGAACTGAATCGTTGATTTTGCAAGAGAATGAGTAAGTGACTTCGAGTGGATAGGGCAACGGTGATATTGTAATCACCGAGAACCTTTTTTTTTCGTTGTTGCTGAATTAATAAGTGGTAGTTTGTGTGGAAAAAAACGAAAAGAAAACAAATCAAGAACCTTGGTCAGAAAAGTCCAATTTATTTCTGCGAGGTGATAAAATCCACAATGCGAATATAGGCCATGAAAGATATTCATTGAGAACGTTAATTGAATTTCGTCATCACAGAACTGAACATGTGTTTCTATGTAGACCTATCCTGCAAGTGATTCAGACATTAATAAACCAATCAATATAGTTCCCTTCTTTACCATTTTCATAATGAAAAATCCAGATAAATATCAGGAGCCTTCATAAATTTATCGGAAAAGATAACAGTGTTGTGCAACACCTGTCTCCACAACATGCAAATTTTTTGTTGTTCTTGTTTTTTTCCCAGAAACCTGCATTCTATTTTAGGTTTACCTACTGTTTCCTTACCCACGATGATTCTACCAGCCGGTATCCGTAGTTTATTATATGCTTTCACTTCCCACGCCCATGACCAGTAGGTATTAACACCGTAAAAATTTCCAAAATCGAGATATTATATTTTCATTGACGTTAGATGACATGTACACCACTAGAAACTGCGCTAATTGATGAAATTTTGACACAAAATCACTACCATGTCAAGAACGAAAATACTTTGTACATCCAGAGTTGAAACAAAATTCAGAACGTGTCCAACGGTTCACTTTTTGTTTTTGGAGTACCTGAAGTTACTAGCTTTGACGTTTTCCAACTTACTAGTGACTTTCAGGTGTAGTCATTGTCATATTCTTCACTTATCAGTGCTGATGCTTATAATGTTCGTCTACCTAGAATTTTAACTCTTCTCGGGATCACTAACTTCTGGTTCGTGATGGTTTTCTGATACTACCATGACAATTGGGCTTCTTATCAGCAATGAAATCAGAGTCAGCAAAATAGCTCAGCTTGTAGGGGCATAATAATACGCACCTCATTAAAATGATCAACTTGCGATGTCGAATTTTGAATCAAGCACAACAAAGGTGATTTTGCTGAACTCCATCAAATAAAAGGACGTTCCAGCTACTCACTGATTTGACGCTAACAGTGTTATAATTATTGATTTTAATTTTTTTGTAATATAAGTAATAGTTAGGAAATAATAGAGTTTTTAGTGCAAAAGAAATAACGAATCGTTAAGCTGTCCGTTATATTATTTTTGAGAGCAATATCAAATAACGGTGGTTGAAAAAAGAGTTTTCAGCGTGGTCATTTGACGGTAATGACTACTACCAATCATGACCGATTGCTTTTTTATTTTTACGCGAAGCTAACCCCAAAATTACAAAACCATGTAAAATGTTTTCTTGGAACTTTTTTATAATATTTATGTTATAATTACTCCAAGAAATGAATAGGTTTAGAATCATAGAACAAGAGCACGCCAACTAACCACAAAACCAGGAGGAATCTAATAAAAACCTACCTTGCCACAATTCATATATGACCACAATCAGCTCAATTTAATCCATTTAGAACACTGCCTTCTTACATTTTATTGTGTTGTAAAATTCATATTTCTATTAGACTTCAATCAATATATTTTTATAACTTGAAATTATTTAAATTATACTTCCCCTTCCTTACGAATTCAGGCAACAGCGCTGAACAAGAAAAAAATCACCTGTGAAATAAACCCTTCCCTTACCTAATCAACAAATGCTTTGAATCTGGCATATATCCCTCAATTTTAAAAAAAGGTAATATAATACCGATACATAAATCATTAACAAAAACAGATGTTAACAACTATAGACCAATATCAATAATATCCAGTGTAGCAAAGGTTTTTGAAAAAGTTTTATCTACTAGAATGATTCGATACCTCACAAAATTCAAAATTTTAAGTGAAAATCAATATGGATTTACAGAAGGGAAGGCTACATCGGACGCAATAACTAAAATTATAAATCAAATACATCAAAATATTGATAACAGAATCCCTTCAATCTGCATTTTTGTTGATTTAAAGAAAGCTTTCGACACAGTTAATCACAAATTATTATTAGAAGCATTGGAGAGAATTGGTTTCAGAGGAAACGCGTACTCACTGATCGAAAGTTATTTGTCAAATCGCCCACAATCTGTGCAGATATCAGGATCATTTAGTAAAGAAATGTATATTAAGTGTGGTGTCCCACAAGGAACTGTCTTAGGTCCGCTGTTATTCAATATATATTTAAATGATATTTTCCAAATTAATTGTGTTGGCAAAATAACTAGTTTTGCAGATGATACTGCAATATTATATGAAGGCACTGAATGGTCTGATCTGAAAAATGTAATTGAAAATGATTTTATCAAAATTATTCAGTGGTTTAACAGTAGAAAATTAAGCATTAACTACTCTAAAACACATTTTTTACCATTTGGATCTTATGCTAGACATCTGCCAAATTACACAAATTTCTCCTTCAATATTAATGATAAAAAAATGCAAATTAATAGAGTGCCCAACATAAAATACCTTGGAGTGGTCTTGGATCCTCACTTACGATGGGACATCCATGTCAATTATATTTTAAAGAAAGTTAGATTTGTATCCTTCAAAATTAAATACCTTGGGAATATATTGACAGAAAAATGTTTTTCAAAAAAGTATTCTAAAAATGATATTTAAAAAACCGAAACTTTATCCCACTGAAAAATTATACGCAGATGTTCGAATGGATGATATAAGACAGCTTTATTTCTTACACAGTATCACTCACTACCATAAATTTGTAAACACCGACCAAAAAATTAAACATAATCATTATACCAGGTACAAAATTCGTGGCACAGTAGTTCCTCAACCGCATAAATCTATAATGCAGCGATCATATCTCTATTTAGCGCCTAAATTTTATGAAATTATACCTAAAGGCTTAAAAGATTTACGTTTCGGAAATTGTTTCAAAAGAAATTTAAAAAAGTGGATACATTCTATATCTAGGACTGAAATTCATAAACTCATAAATACGAACATCAACTAAATACATAATCTACTGTAGCTAATTTTTGTCCTTTTTTGTCATTTGCATTCTACAGTTTCAACTTAAATTATTGGTCCATGTACAGGCGATGCCTTCTATTGGGCCTGTTTTGATTTTATATTTATTTACTCATATTGTTTGTTATCTTTGTACATTGAGTGAATAAATATTATTATTATTATTATTATTATTATTATTATTACTCATCGTGACTAACGAGCTTTCTATTTCGATAACTGATAATGAAGGATGGTCTTGCACTGCGCAAAATCGAAATAACGAAGATCATAACGAAGCAGCAAAATAAGAGTACTAAGAACTCTCTCTTAAGAACCTTTATTTTTGCTATATACGAGTATTGATATAAAACGTGTTTAATTTGGTGGAAAGTTTCTATCCTCCAGGATAACAACCTTGCATATTATGCAGTATGCTTATCTGGGGCATTATGGGGAATCTCAACGGCAGGACGAGCTTAGTGTCACTTAGTGAGGGTACGTTGATCAATTGTATTACCGGTCTGAATCGCATCTGACGATCTGTATTGAACGATTTCATAATAAAAAGAAATCTGACTGCAAAGAGCTGAATAGTTCTTATATCATTGTGAGGGAGGTATTGACTCCTTTTTTTGTCTAGTTTGAGATTTTTGCTTATACGAAATTACTTTAACAAGTTTTATTATGCATGTATGTATTGAAATAGAACTTTTTTTTAATGCAGTAAAATGAATAAAAATCATTCTGTTTTCAAGTATTTGGCTTTATTGGAAATGAAAAACATTCCCATTATTTATGGAACACGATTTCATTCATATGGCTCCCTCGGAATTGTTCACATAACATTGATTTTTTACGGCGCCCCACAAAAAGAAGTCCAACGGCCTTAAAAGTCGCAGCTTCGAGGCGGCCAATTGACATCTCCACGACGGCTGATTACACGATCACGAAATTTGGTGTGCAAAAGATCGATCGTTTGATTGGATGTGTGGCATGTGCCTCAGGTAGTCTCTGCCCATGTTATGAATTTCTGGCCATAAAAAGTCGGTAAGTATGACTCGGTAGCGCTCTCCATTGACTATCACGGCGTTGCCAACCTCATTCTCGGAGAATAACGTCCGGCTTTTCAAAG